GTGTATAGACTTTATTATCAAAAATAAAAATTATTTTTGAGAACGTCTGTTTTTTTGGGTTGGCAAAGGGATCAGCGAAAAGAGTTTTTTAGAAATAAAAATATTAAAAATAATATAAAAAATAATAAATATATAATATTTTTATACAATTATATTTTTTTATTTTAAAATAAATAATATAATAAAATATATAAATTCTTGTTTAATTATAGAAAAAAAAATTAAAAAGTATTATATATTTTTAAGATAATTAATAAAAAGAGTTTAAAATTTTTAAAAAATTAAAAAATTTATTTCAAGTTTAAAACATATAATATTAATTTAAATATATTGATTATTCAAATATATTGAATTTGTAAATTGATTATTTAATAAAAAACCAATAATTAGTAATTCAATTTGATAACTATTATTACAATTCTTAAATGCAAAAATTTTATCAATATATAGTTTAAATAATTTTTTTATATATTTCTATTTTTTATCTCCAAATATATATATGTCTATTTTTATTTTAATATTTCTATTTTTTATCTCCAAATATATATATGTCTATTTTTATTTTAATAAAATTTAAAAATTTAAAAATTTTATATTAAATTATTTAATAAACCCTGAATTGTAGGTTCATGTATAATTTGTGAAAGGTTGCTTCTCAAAAAAGATAAAGATTGGGTTTAGCATTGACATACAGTAAATGTGGTTCTGTATATGGGACACATTCTTTGACACCTTAAATTCTGTTTACTTTTTGGATAATCGACTGGAATTGTAATTTGAGAAGGCCAATATTATTCGGGCATTAATCAATGTAAAAAATTTAAGAGGTTTAAATTTCTCGTAATGTAGCGGAATGACGGTCATGAAGATAAACCTTTGATCAATTCTCGTGCTTACTGTAATTATTATTGGTCTGGGCTAAAGTCATAAATTGCATAAAGGTCGACGATTTTCCTTTTCTCGTCTTTGTCATATATCTTTTAACATGCACTTTCAGCATTATGACTTCCTTGCGAAAAATATTTCATTTTTAAATATACTACGTAATACTATTTATCACATGATTACTTGGATAGTAAATGGTTTCCTTTAATTCTTACGGTTCTCGTTACAACAGTCCAGTCTCTAGGTCACAATTTCTCTTAGCCACGGTCTGGTTTCGTTCTCGCTCAAGTTGGAGGCACCTTTGATGATTTTGTCGTGCGATTGCGCCACGGTTTTGTACATAGCCTCAGTGATCTTGCTTTTCTTGTTATAGATAAGCCTTTTCAATGGAAAGTCATTGCCGTCATCTCGGAAAGGTCGTCGCATTGCTACTGTAACTTTCTGTGGCTTTAGGAATAAGACATCGATAGTGTAGGAACATTACGGATTCTGCAAACAGTTTTTTGTTCTGAGTGAGGTTACCCGAGCATCGACAAAAATTAAAAGACTATAAAAAGTGGGAGAGGATAAAAAAAAACCTTAGTTATGCGCACTGAGCAATTTGTTTTCGTGTTTCCATCTCTGATGTGTTTTTTGATTTGGTCATGATTTTCCTTCTATGTAAAATTCGAGGCTGCCACAAACTTCCAAGCCAAGGACTGGTAGCGAATACGCATGTAATTATTATTTTCCAATCTAAACTCATTTCGACTAAAGTCTAAATCAGTAAAGATAATATATTCGATTTATGGTCAGCATAAGTAACGGATGAATTTACTTAAATTAATCACCTTCGAAAACTGTGTAAAGAACTTGTTTCTTATAAAGGATCACGACACATTCGTTATAATTTCCAATTTCCAAGTTTGTTTATTGTTTATAAAAAGAAATAAATAAATACAGTAGATGACAGACGAAACCACCGATTACCTCTTAGCCGTCGCCAAAGATAGTCATGAAAAATTGAATAACCCCTCTATACATTCAATTCCCAAATTTCTTGCAAATCTAGGAAGCGGATTCATGCCATACGATGATAAGCTAGTTATACCTTCGATGATAGTCACAACACTTGAAAATCCCGAGTATGCAGAGGAAGAGGATAAATGTGATTTGAGCGATGAGAATGAGGTTGAAAGAGAGAAACCAGGGTCGAAAAAACTATGGATCGCTATTGGCATATCCCTGATTTTCTTCTTTACCGAACTTGTCGGTGGGCTGTTCTCTGGAAGTTTGGCGTTATTGAGTGATTCATTTCATTTATTGAGCGGTGAGCCTT